GGATTTGTAAATGGAATTTATGTAAAAAGAAATATAATGTGCTAATAAATAATTTAGCAAATGTTCAATCATATTCATAATTAATGCATATCAAAAGAATGAGATATTATTTTAACTTCTCAAACACTCAAAATTGAAAATTTTTTGATATGGTATCATCAGTACTGATAATGGTTGGGAATATAAACTTTCAGCATCCACTTAGTGGGAACATAAATTGATTCAAACTGCTTCAAGAGAAATAGGAGGACACTATCTCTCAAACTTAAAAGTATACATACTCTTTAACCAGTTGAATGATATTTCCAATTAAAAGAAATACTTAGGAAATTCTAAAATGAACATTCCTATTGATAACAGCAATTCTACTTCCATGAATTTATCCTAAAAATACACTCACAAAAGTACCTCAAGATGTATGAACAAGGATATTTGTCATAGCAGAGCAAAATGACAAAACCAAAAATACTGGAAACTACAACTACAGCCATCAAGACATCATGGGCTAAACAAATTCTGCTACATCAGTAGAACACAATGAAGCTGCTAGGAAGAAAGAGGAAGGTCTGTATGAATTATTATGTGTCTGTCCGAAGAGAGAGGGAGACACAGATGCAACCCAGTGTGTAGCACATTATGCCTTTTCCTTGGCCCACATGGGGTTCTTTAAATTAGCAGGAAGAGGAGAATGCATGGGTGTTGCATAAGCAACCAGCAATGTCTAGCACAGATTATTTGATTCTCAAAACTAGGATCCCATACTAGGAAAAGAGGAACTGCAGAAAAGTTGATTAACTAACAGAAAAGCAAATTCATCAAGCAAATTCCCATGGAAACATGACTTATGAGTTCCAGCCCTGAACTAAGTAAGACTCCAGTACCTCTTCTGGAAAATTGGAAAATTGCAGAGAAGTCGACTTTATTTCTTACTCTCCCTTCACTCCCACTCACAAAAACATACGCACTAGAAATTAAACAGTGTAAGGACAGTGTCTTTATTTGGTTCACTAGTATCTATCCCTAGCACGAAGAACTATGTCTGGCAAACAAGTCATCTAAAATAAAGGAATGAATTATAAAGCCAGCACTAGAATAGACCCAATGTAATCTTTTCTGTAATCTTTTCTGTTGATCATCCTTGGTGCTCCTCAACGAGCTCACTCGCTCACTCCAGGCCTCTCTGCACTGATACCACCTCCAGAGATCTCATCAACTAAGATTTGGCAATTCATTTATTACCTGGTGAACTGCATACCTCCATCTCACTTCTCTGCCCTTCCCCATATAGGTAAGAGGAGATAAATGCCTATACAGTGTAATGTAAGCACTGCTACTCAAAGTGCAAGTCTACCATGAGATAAGAAGCTTGTACCAGAATGTAAGCCGCTTCCTTCATCTAGAAAGTGTTGCTATAAGACACTTAGGGTGTAGCTGAATTACATTCTGGTACAAGCTCCTTATCTCCTTGAATAGAATAGTAACAAACTCAGAAATGCAGGTCACACTTTGAATAATGCTAATTTAAAGTAGAGCCACAAGTCTTCAAGTCCCAGTATTTGAGAGGCTTTCTTTGCACCAACCATTGCCTTCTCCATCAAATCAATTTCCCCACTGACAGGAGAGATCTGAAGCAGCAAAACGCACTGGTTAGGATAATGAAAAACAGAAAAAAGAAGTGGGGAGGGGGCTGAATAAACCTGATCTAACTTACACATAGGAATTTTGCACATAGGAACTCAAAGTAACTTCTTAGACCCTGGAAATTTGTGATTAAATTGGTAACAGATTACTGGCTGAGTCACAGGCACCAACAATGTGGTTAAAAACAGTAATTAAGCATGTGAAAAATCAGATGCAGAGGCTAACAGTCCTGTGTAATTTCAAAAATTCTGCAGTCTCAATTATCTGTCACTTTCCATTAGATTTGCAACTTGGCTAAACTCAGGACTTCCACACAACAGTACCATGTCGCTTAAAATCCAGTATCCAAATGAGAGTCAGAAAATCACCCTTTTTTAATCTCTAGACTAGCATTCCCATGAGCCAATGATCCATAAATAAACACTATTTTTAAGTCTTCATTACAGAGCACATAGTTTCTCTTCAGACAAGATGGAGCTGCCAACTTCTCTTCTTAAATCTTAATCCCTTCTATTCCAAAGAAAAAATAGAAACATGCACACAAAAGTTCAGAAGAAATAGAAAGTGGAACTCCCATCCCTCCCTGGCTATAGTCTTCCTCTAAACACCCATAAAACCCCACAATTTAAAAAGCTTCTTTTTTTAATACAAGAAGAATATATTCTTTTTTTTTTTTTTTTGAAACAGAGTCTCACTGTCACCCTCAGTAGAGTACTATGGCATCACAGCTCACAGCAACCTCAAACTCTTGGCTCCAGCAATTCTCTTGCCTCAGCCTCCCAAGTAGCTGGGACTATAGGCACCCGCCACAACCCCTGGCTATTTTGTTGTTGTAATTGTCATTATTGTTTAGCTGGCCCTGGCCAGTTCGTACCCATCAGGCTCAGTGTTTCAATGTGCTACAAGTGCTGAACCACAAGAATATATTCTTAAATAATTCACAACTTTACACCTCACCTCCAACCAAATGATACCTATGTCTCTAATCTCTCCAATTTGATTTCTCAGAACAGCCACCATCTCCAAATATTACTTGTATCATTCCCTAGCTTTTTACCTTCTATATAATCTATATCTACAAACATGGTTTCCAAATTCAACAGTGACAAAATTAAAATTTATCCTCCCTGACCCCCGCCCTAGCCATGCTTTATTCCAGTCTCATGTTTCCTTACCCAGAAAAATCCAGTACTGAATTTCTCCTCGTGTGTGCCCTCTGTTCCCTTTTCTTTCCATTCTGTTGCCTACTTATTTGTTCCAAATACTTCTAATTTCTCCAAATTTGATGATAACTAAAGAATTTATTCTTCCTATTTCTGCTAATTCTTTGTCACCCTTGGATCATAGAATTCATATAAATTAGAACTTTATACATGTCTTCTAACAAACGTTAGTTATCAAATTCCATTGTTCTTAAGTACAAAGTAACATAAGTGCTCAGCAATACTAGCTATTGGTTTCAGGCAGAGCTGAAGTGGTTTTGACTCTGACATGTAGCTTTGCTGATACCTGTAAACATTTATAAGGTGAAATTTTATAAGTAAGAGAGAACCTGTCTTTCCAAATACTTAGTATACTGCTATCCATGTGCCTGATAACAACATTTTGCACATCATAAAAGCACTCAATAAATATATCATTTGGTAGATAAGGAATTTTATAATGCTTTAAAAGAAAAATAGTAAAAAGATATCTCCTTAACTATTACAACCTTGATCTTCAAACATATGCTCTCTAATCCAACAACTCCACACTTAGGAACAGAGATTAAGGAATTGATCTTAAATGTAAATAAATAAATGCGTGCCTACATATGTCCTTGAGTAAATAAATATACAAAGATGTTTACCTTAGCCCCTAGGATATTCAGCAATGATTAACAAAATTATATTCATTCGCTTGGAAGAATGTTTTGCAACAATGACAAACAACATCAATGTAGAAGAGGCAATATTTTATAGAAAATGATTGCTATAAGGTTAAATGAAAAAGCGAGGTTTCGAATTTTATCGACACTATTATTGTGATTATTTTTAAAGCAGGACACAGAAAAAAGATTGAAAGGAAATATATCAATGAGGTTACAGGCAATTTTTTCTATGCTTTGAAAATTCCTGCAATGAACACTTACTACTTTTGGAATGAAAAAAAAATAAGTTTTACTATGAAAGTCTCAATCTTTTACTCAAGTAAGAAGGAAGACGCAGACTGTGGAGGAGGCAATGAAAAAAAGCAACTTTGTCTATACTTGTCTGTATTTTAGGTTTCCCCATTTTACACATGTGTCCTACTCTATTACTGAGGTAATTTTTTACGGTGGGTAATGAAATGTTAACAGCACATCCAAGTATGCCATTCAGTTTTCACTATTGATAATTCACATCTCCAAATCACAACTATTCTCAATATATTGACCTTTCAGTGTGTCTAAGTAAACTGACCACAGACTAGCCATGAACCAAGGCTAATTTGAAATCTTACTTTTCCCATTTGTGTGTTTTAAGCAAATCATTAAACCTCGTGTATCTCCAGAGGTGTGTCAACAGTCTTTCTTAGTGGCATGTATCAGTGTCTCAAAACCTCTGCAATAAACGAACTTCCTGATATCCCCAATAGGACTTCCTGATACCTAACCCTAATATCTCCTTGCTTCTGTTTGAACTCATTTCTCCCAGTTCTGTCCTCAGTTCAACCGACAGCACTGCTCACGGTCACTGAGATACCATTAGACAGCCACCTTCTGTTTACATGAGAGATCAGTGCATCCCATGTTCATCCTATACAGTGATGTTCATTTGATTATAAGTGGTGGTCAAACAGTTCCAAGAGCATTCTTCAATCTCCTAATATTTCTGCCAATTATAAAACAAATATGTGACAAATATTAAATTCAGAAATTAATGCTTTGCTGCTATCTCACTTGAACAAACTCTTCCATTCACTGTGAATAAGTTTTTGGACAAAAGTAAACTCCCTTCAAACATATTCCATCTTGGCTCCTGCTTCCATAGCCCCAGGCCAAAGCACAAGCATCCAGGCCATATCTTATCTTTTCCTGCACACTATCCAATCGGCTTTTTATAGCCAGAAACTCTCTGAATGCAAAGCACGACCTTGGCTACCAGCTTCCCCTGGCAAGAGTTTGAAAGTTATTTATAACTTTAAAATTAGTGTGAAAGCCTACATTTCCCATCACAACTAGTCAAAACATTCCTATTTTATATAATTATGCGCTCTTCCTTAATTCAGAAGGAATCCCCATATTTTAAACCTACCATAGATAACCGAAAACAACAATTCAATGAAGAAATGAGAATAAACCAAAGTTCAGTTCTTCCCTTTACAAACGTGACTCTTACCTTGCTGATGCTTCCTATTAAGTAAATGTGCTTAAAATTCGGTTCTTGTAGGGAATTTTCCAAAAAGAGCCTGGGGTGGGGGGGGACAAAAAAGACTTCTTGATAGTCACAAAGTTCCAAAGTACCAAACTGAGAGGCAGTGACAGTGGGGCAGTCACTTTAGCTGAGTGTTGTTCCCCCAGGATAAGAAAGAAAGGGGAGGTTACAAGTCAGGGTGGGTGGTATCTAATCCTGAACCGCTAGTCACTGACCTCACTGACAACTTGTTACTGAAAATACTTCGTTGAAAAAGGCCAGGCACATACTTTGCCTAGAGACCTACAAACATAGCTGTCCGGAAGCTCTGAGTAAGTTAGATTTGCATTTCTCTAGTCCCTTTCCAAAATACGGACCTCTTATGTCTAATTAAAGCCGAAGGCTGAATTATTGAAAGCAAAAAATGGTAAAGCAGGGATAACAGGAGGCCAGCGAATCCCCACATGGAAAGATCAATTATGTACAATTATGTACAAATCAGGGTCTTCAGAGCCACAGAGATGCTGACATCAAGGCCGTGTGTCACATCTGACATAGTATTTTTCCTCTAAAATCTTCCCTGTCTCATACCTTGGCACCAAGCATCTCTCTCTCTGCTTTCAGCATTTCTAAGAAACCACATAATTATCAGTAAGGAATTTAAACTGAAGATTTACTAAGAACGCCATAGAGGGAAACATGATTAGATTGAAGTCCCCCAAAATATTCTTTTTCCATCAAAATTTCTTTTTTCTCTCTGTGCCTATGCTTTTGGTATTTCCTCTTCCCTTGTATGGATATCCTCTCCCTCATTATCTAATGATCCAGCATCTCCCTGCCGTATTCTTTCTCATTTCACTAATTCCTTGACCCCGTACTTGGACTTGTACGGCATTTCCCTGGGCATTACTACTTTTCTGACTTTCTTCTAATAACTTCTTAAACAAGAGCCAGTAACCAAAATATCCACTACTCATTTGAGGTTTGCCAGTCCTATTCTGAAAAGGCTGAATTCAACATAAGAAGAAAGCATTTATTTATTAGTTCTCCAGATCCTCTTAGCCCGAGTATCAGGAGCCAAGAAGAAGACAGGGTCTGGGGACTGTCAGAGAGAATCAGCCATGAAAGGGGTTTCGTTTTATATGATTTTCAGGGAAGCCTGAAAAATAACTGTATTTTTGTGTAACTACCTTTAAAATCTGCATAACTGACATTGCATTTATCTGTTGCTAACATGCTGCCCTCCCCAGACTTTTTTCAAAGCAGCATTTTCCCCCTGGAGGATCAGGGAACGGCCTCTTTTCACAGTGAGACAAAGAGGAAGTTTTATGTCTCTCAATCCATCTCTTCTTGAATAAAGAAATCACTTGACACTTGGAAAATAGCAGGTTTTGTTTTAGAGCTTTAATAATGAATGTTTCCTAAACCAGGACAGTTGCATTGAGCCCAAGACAAGATATCCAAATTCTATATTATAAGCCTAGCGGTAACTCCACGATAAGTTTCTTCCCTGCTCTGTACCTCTCCTTTCCACCTGCAAAATGGAGAAAAAAACTCTGATTCTTTTCTAGTTGCTTTTCAGAGCCTGTGAATTAAATGGATAAAATCTGAAGGGCTTTAAATTACATCGAACTCTTTAGAGCTGCAATACAGAGAAAACCTTGGGATAGTGTTTGGTGCTACCATAACAATTAAATATCATACATATCTAAGTATTGTTAAGTGTAATTTTAAACATTATTGTGGAGTATGGGGGGGGGGTTCTTTTCCTTATTCCAAAAATGTCTGCAGCCTTTGAGATAGGTTTTAGCTAAAGTATTTCCCATTATAGCCACAAGAGGTCCTCTCCTAGTAATTCAAATCACGTTGGCTTTGTTGACTAGGGGCCCCATGATCCTCGATTGGGTTGTTGACAGAAAACACAAATCGCCTATGTCAAATTTCCATAGCTAACTATAGGGTAGCAAAAACCCCAGAGAAATCCTGCTTTCTCTGTGTGACCACTGAAGCATGCTGAACACTAAATAGTTCCTGTAAACCACACTGCCCCTGCCGTTTGCATCCTGGCCCCCTTCCAGATTTTCACAGTAATTCTTTCTTGTCACCTTGCCCAGTCTTGTGCAGTATTCATTCTCCATCCCTACTGACTTGTTTCCTTTCTTTATACTTTCCAAATTTGAAAATTCTGGCTCACATTCCTTTTGCAAGCAAACAAAGATTAGGGGTTTAAGAGCTGGGGGGTGGGGGAGAGAAAAAGGGAGAATAAATCTGCGCTATTAGTAGCAATCTTCCCGAGTCGATCAAAAGTGTGTTTTGGGGTTTAGATAACAGGCCCGGGACAAAGTCATTCAGCTGCGTGTACTGAGAAGCCCCTTGCTGTGGAGCCCTGTGTTGGAAGTCAGCTAGAAGACTGGAGGCAAGGGAGGCCTCCACAAAGAAAATAATTCTATCCCTATCAGTATCCCCTCTTGGAAAATAAGCCCTCCAGGGTGCAATCGGTTCTGTAGTCAGAAAGCAGCACCGTTTCTTCTTGTCATTAAAATCCCTCAAAGAATGAAAATAGATTTTCTGTGAACCCTGGGACCATTTTGTTCTATATATGATATCTCAAAATACTGGCAATTTCAGGTTGGTGCTTAAACAATATGTAATTTTCTAGACAGCTATGACACCTTTTTAAGATAAGATTTAAAGCGAGGGATAATTTCTGTTTGTGATCATTAAGATCATTTTATTCAAAAATATGTGATAAATAGCTCTTGCACCTTGTCAGATGCTTTAGATAAATCAATGAATCTGTTTCTGCTTCAGAGGTCTTCTGTACAGCAAGATGTTTCTCACTCTCTTCCCACCTACCACACTATTAGCTACTAATCAGCTCGCTTCTCTCAATGAGAAAAACAGAAGCCATCCAAGGAGATGTCCCACCTTCCCTGCCGTCCGTCCTACTACGCTCGCACAACGCAAGAAGTACCCTTCCTCTTACCAAAGACTAATCTCTCCTCTTCTCCTCTGGATCCCTTCTTCTCCCACCTTCCCCAAAACTCTGCTCTTGCTTTGTCACCTCATGTACTGCGTTATCATGCCTCTCTAATGACCAGTGCAAACATGTGCCACAGGACTGCTGCCTGAAAGATATCAAAGAAACAAAAACAGTATCTTTACCCTAGGGTAAAGGGCTGCCTCCAGTTGCTACTCTGGGTCTCTGCTGCCTTCATCATAATACTTCCCAAAACACTTGTCCACTATCCCCATGTTTTCACCTCTCATTTACTCCACAGCCCACTCCATGTCATTTCTGTACCTTTCACTCCCATAAAGGCCGTTTTTAACCTTCCATGTGGCCAAAATCATATTGTCATCTTAGGGAATGTTTCATCCAATTCTATGGCTTTTAATAGGCTGTTGAGTGGGACTTTTCCTATTGCCCAGAATTGACGACTAAAGCCAGAATGAAAGAAAATGAAGCCATCCATATATGCTAAGGAATTTCCAGTCTTTGACGACAGATACCTCATTCAAGGCTTACTAAGAAGAGGTTAAGAAAAAAACTCATGCTCTTCCTCTCTCATCCTTAACACTAGAGGAAAAGTTGACTTAAGCAGTTGGGAAACAAGGCCAACTACTTCTCCCTGCAAAACTGCCAGAGCAGAAGTGGTTTTAAAAAAAAAAAAGTCAATCTTGCCCCTTCCTCATTCCAAGCCCCTGGAGAGGACATCAGGTTATTGCTGGGGTAAGGGAAGATGAAATTTATATTGTCATAATATGTAAATGTTAAACTGGATTAAGCAAGCCTTTAAAGAATGGAAAGTCATGGGAGCCTATCTATTGAAGAAATGAGAAAGGAAGATGCAACAGAACAAAGCAAAATGCAGGGATAGGAGAAAAACTGGTTCACTCCGTAAACCAATTTCACGCCCATGTGGTAATGAGTCTCACCTTTATCCCCCAACCCAGACTTCTCTCATGAGCCCCAGAGGCATCTATCCAACTGGTTTCTCCATTTGAGGAGCCACTAGGCATTTCTAACTTCATATGTCCCTAAAAGAAGCTCTTGATCTTTGCCTCTCAATTCTGTTTCTGTCATTCATATCCCAGTAATTGGTATCATCACTCAATCATTTAAACCAAAACCTAGGAGTCATCCCTCATTCATTCTTTTAATTCATTACCATCAAGAATTTCCACTGATCCTACTTCCAAAATGTATTTTTAGCATATCCACTTTTCTCTGTCTCCCCTTCTCCAACTATTCCAACATTTGCGACCCCATTCACTCTCTCTCTCTCATTTTTTTTTTTTTTTTTGAGACAGAGTTTCACTCTGTGGCCCAGGATAGAGTGCCATGGTGTCAACCTACCTCACAACAACTTCAAACTCCTGGGTTCAACTGATCCTCCTGCCTCATCCTCCCAAATAACTGGAATTGCAGGTATGTGCCAAAATGCCTGACTAATTTCTCTATTTTTCACTCTTACTCAGGCTGGTCTCAAACTCCTGAGTTCAAGTGATCCACTTGAGCCTCCCAGAGTCCTGGGATTACAGGTGCGAGTCACCAAGCCCAGCCTGATGCCCATTCTCTGCATAGCTTCTAACTGATCTTTCAGAACACAATTTAGCTCATGTTATTCTCCTGCTTAAAATCATCCATCCAAGTGTGGTATCTGGGGTCTGTAATTCCAGATACTCAGGAGCCTGAGGTAGGAGGATTCCTGGAGACCAGGAGTTCAAATCCAGGTCAGGCAACATAGTGAGAGCTCATCTCTAAAAGGAAGATAAAATTATCCAATAGCTTCCTTATACTCATAGCAGAAAATCTATTAGGGGTGTCCAACTTGCAGCCCACAGTCCTCAAAAACAGACTATTTGAGGTCTGCTTTACTTATTTGTGGTGTCAGATATGACAACAAGTAAGCATGGACCTTTTTATTCACTCATCAGCTGTTGTTAGTGTCTGTATATCTGATGTGTGGTCCAAGACAACTCTTCTTTATTCAATATGCAGCAGGATGGAAAAAAGGTCGGACACCCCTGATAGATTCTTTACCAAATCCACAAGGCTCTGGTTCCTGTCAACTCTCCTACCTTGGATCACAGCATTCTTTTCTCTAATTTATTTATCCCAGGTATACTTTCTGCTTATAAAATACTCAACCAGATTGCCCTAAAGAGACTACACT